TCGTATCGACACGTAAAAAAGTACACTAATTTGTAAAATTTCCGTGAAAAGTACTTTCTGTACTACTTTCATGTCTGGCTAGGTCCGGGCGACGCTTCGGAATTTTGCGATTGGTTTAGAAACAGTACATTACTTGTCTTTAAACTTGGACCTGCAGATATAAGTGAAGGACATGGGCTAATACATGGTGTCGAGGAATGACTATTACTTAAATCACATTGATCTAATAGTTTCCAAAGTTCTTCTGGCGTAGGTCCACCAGAAACATCTGTAATTGAAATGCTTGCTTAGTAAGCATGTTACTAAATTTAGTTTTAAAAAGAGACCGAAATGTTACTTTGGGACGAAGAAAAAGATGGCTCCAAAGCTGTTGTAAGATCCCACATTTGAATGGTACCATTAGAATGTCCAGTAAATATAAAACGCCTGGGGCGTGAACCCATACGGCTGGATCCATCACATTCATGTACATAAAACGAACTTATAATACTACCATCCACTGATTTGATAACACAAACTCTCTTTCCATTTGATGCTAAACGTACAAACAATTGATCAGTCTCAGGTACAACTTTTTGAACAAAGACTTGTTCATCATCTTGTTCTCCAAAGGGTCCTATTTTATAAAATGAAATAATTAAAGTCGTTTTCCTTAGTGCAATTAATAATATCGTAATAGTGTTATTAGGTACCAAAGTCATTTCCAGCATTGTAACTGATACAAGGCTCAATTGCTTCTAAAGATACAATTTTAAAACTAGCTTCTGGTGTCGATCCAGGTTGAGTAGATATCATTCCACGAAACCTTTTTACTGCCCAACTCCTAACATGATTATATTCAGAACAAACGGATACTAGGTATTTTTCTGACAATGTCACCTGTAATATAATTTAATACATATGTAAATAATTTGTAAATTTATTCTAACAAAAAGCGAATGTTTTTTACATATAGACATACTTTTGTTACACTACTTTGATGTACTGTAAATGTTTGAAACAGTTGTGGGCCATGTCCTACAGTTTCGGGATGTTGAACTATAACTCTTACGCTGCCAGATTTTGTGCCATACGCGATTTCAATCCAATTACCACAGAGTGCTGTATGAAAAGATCATAATGTTACACTGTACCATTTGTCTTCTTAAACATTCAAACTTTTCAATGTAAACTACATTTCTTAATATCAAATGGAAATGACACGATACTGATATTTGAAAACAGTAGTAATCAAAAAAATCCTTTATAAACGTGTATTTAATAAAAACCTACATAAATATTACATGCTTTGCAATGTGACGATTAAATACTCATAAACAGATATTCAGAACATGTTTTTATATTTATAAAATTTTATGTTTATGTGTTAGAAAAAATGATAAGTATAGAAGTATTTACAATGTATACAAAAAAGTATAATTGTTTATAAAGAGCAAAATAATGCTTATATGCATTTGGAACTGTTTAAAATGAAGAATATGCAAGCAAAGGTACATGTTATCTATTCTCTTCCCTTCCCCTCTCAGATGTTATTATGGAAGAATCAAGCAAGAAATTTCATTAAATGTGATTTGAACAAAGATAAACAAATTACATAATTGTCATTAAAGTTAAATATTAATTAAAAAGAAAAAAAAAAACAGGAAATGAAAGTGTTATAATAAGTACAACTGGATGCATAAGGATAGTGGGGTTGTGTATGTTTAGTGCAATAGTGATATTAATAAAAGTTACTTTTTCGATATATACAAATACACATATGTAAGAAGAGTTTTAATTAAAAGTGCTGTTTAAAGCAATATATGAATATGGATTTGTGCATTGACTTAATGCAGAGTAATATACTACACCTGGAGAGGAAGGGTATGGATACTAGTATTCAAATTAATGCGTTATGTTTAATACAATATAAAATGTGGAAAAACACATGTCATTTTGAACTGTGATTTGAATGTGAAAATATTGTAGAACATTGTCATATCGACCCATACTTGCCTTGTGCTATTTATCCAGTTGTACGAAATCATGAAGCAAAGAATGTAATAATAAACTCTCATTAATATTCAAAGGCATTATTGGACTTCATAATAGAAAACAAAATGTTTCTGTTTGAACAAATATGACACTTATTTGTGTATCAATCTATTAAAAAAAAAAACTAAGTTTTTTATTATAAAGAACAAAAACGTAATGAAATTTATTATTAAAATTCTTCAGTGAATATATAACTAATAACAAACATAATTATCTAAGAAAATGAAACATAAAAGAAATATAAAAAATATTTATCATGAAAGTAACGTTTGTTATTACATTCCTCAGTATAAGCAGATTTAATAATTAAATTTTAGTCCATTTATTTGTACGTCACTTGAAAAGATTTTTCTGCAATAGAGATACTGTAATATTCAATGTAACATGAATCTTGAATTAGTTATTATTTACCTTGAATTTTTATTAACTATTTATCAAGAGAATATTATGATAAACATGAGTACAAAAACTTACATGTTTTTGGTGTTAAATATACAGATATGGCTGTAATGGGATCATAATTCGGATCACGGTACAATTCAGTTACGAGTAAGTCATTGTCCTTCATTCTTAAGGGAAACTTCTCCATATCTAAAAAGTGATGTTATATCGAATCATTATTGCAAAATTCATTTTACTTTACGAATTCTTATTTATATTACCAATATAATAAATAGATCCATTGTTGCATCCTAATAGAAGAAATGATCCAGCTGTGTCAAATGACAAAATAGGTACTACATCTTGTATTTGCCAATGATGTGTCATAGCATGCCATACACCAATTTTGTCAGTAGGAGATAGAGCAACTAACTGACTTCCAATAAAAAATAAATATTCTACACGGACATTCAAATTGAATGTACCAATATTTGTCTTCATTCCATTTGCTGAAATGCTCCATAATCTAACTTGATTTCCATAAGAAATAGCAACCATTTTAACATCTCCACTAGTACTCAATTTTGAAGTTATTGCCACCCTTTCAATCACTGATTCAATGTGAGGACTAGTAAATGCATGCTGCCAACCAGATGAATCTTTAAGTCGATAACATGTTATAAAATGTGCATAAGCAATTACAATCCAATTGTGATGTGCTTTTATAATTTGCACCCTTAAGGGATCAACCCATGATGAAACTATACCAAAACAGATTTGTTAATACTTTTTTATTAGAACCTCCAGTAAAATATTTCCATCCATTTACCTTGTTGAGGACCAAATACTAAACTTATATCATTTTTATATAGTTTGTTTAGGTCTGCTGAATTATTTCTAACATGTCTTAAATCTAAAGATGAAGTTCTTGAGTGTGGCAAGCCTTTTTGTTGGACTCTATAATCCAATGAAGAATTTCGCATATGAGTGGTAAGCACACCTTTATGATTTTGTTGACCTAAAGTAAATATGTATTAAAATATATACAATAATTACTAAAAAAATTGTTCCAGGAGTTGAACTTTGGGAGGTAGATGGTACTTCTACTCTAGAAGTGGTAGTACTAGTAGAAACTCTGCCATGAACAGATACATCTCCTACATTAGAGGGAACAGTAGTAGGTTCTTGCAATGGTATACCTTTAATATTAAAATGCATAAAATATAAGTGTGTTATTTTACTTATTTCTTTTTTTATAAGAATGATTTATTCAATCTTACTTGGTGGGGGTAAATAGCCATAGAACAATACATCTCCACAAGAAGATTGAGTTAAGTCTTCACATAGCATTAAACGTTTAACCAGTGGAGTAATACCATAATATTCAGCTTCATGTCTTAATGTACGTAGATCTACATTCTTCAAATCAATGTCCTTTGTGCGCAGATAATTCAATATAATAGAAAACAACTTTGGATCTCTATCTATAAATAATGCACCAATTTCATCTCTGTGGCTGGCAATTCTATTGCTTAATAAAGCAGTAAAAAATGAGTCTGGAACCCATGTTAATGTTTGCTTTGATGTTGAAAACCTGTATAAAAAATAATTTTAGACACATGCAGCAATAATTTATCAAGAAACATCTTTCAGGTCACATAGTAATATTTAATTATTAAGCTAACAGCTGAAGGAATTACATGCATTATATTATACTTAAAAGCAATTAAACTCTTTTTTTTCTGTACCTCGTTCCACCAACATTTAAATGAACGATATTGCTAAAACAAAAAGGCGGTAGAGCCATTGTTACGATCGACTCAAGCACCAATTTTTATTTTGATAATACATGTCTCTTTTTGACAGTCATCAAATAATTGAAGGTTTAAAAAATACTTTACACAGGTTATGAACACTAAGTATGTCTTTTTAACTTAGTTGTAAATTCGCACATGCGTCGTGAGCGTCGCTCTTATAAAACTTAAAATTAAATAAAAATCTTTCTAATGCTCGACGCAGTTGCATTAAACTTAAATGCAGGAGAATAATCACAGAACATGAATGTACACGTAATTTTAATTAGAATCACTTTATTATTTTACAAATTATGTTTTATCTTATGATAAATAATGTACAACTTATATTACCGATAGAGAAACACATCTCATACTTTCAGAACCTTCAAGGCTATTCCATAAGATGGCCAGCATTCACAAAACTCCAAAAACCTTCTCACTGGCATTTGAAATTCATGTTACAAACGAGGTACAGGATAGATGTAACATCTAATGTATTTTTTTGTCAACATCAGGAGGGCTGAGAGTGCCCTTACCATTTTCGTGTTGCTCCCAACGTTATCGATTCAGTATACGAATAGGATTATAACTTTAACAATGGTTGGAATTAGAACTAAACGTAACTATGAAATTACAAATATGGTATAGGACAGGATATTATATACATACTCGTAAGTACACCTTAATTGTCGAATAGTTAGTGTTTCTTGTTAAATAACAATTTAGATGGTAGTTTATAATTATTGGAAGTCTTAAATAAAATTATTGTATGCTTCAACTTAATAAAATAGCTTATTATTCTGTATTGAATTAACCATTCTATTCAATGAATTAGTCAGAAATTGTTTATAATCTCCATTAAAAATTAGAAGTCCACCTCATAAAAATCAAGGAAAGTACATGAACATCAGGAAATGAAAAAATGCAATTACTTATCAAAAAATCAATTACTTCTTGTTACAAGTCTATTCATTTCTCTCTTGCACAACACGTACATCTTTTTTTGCAAAAAACTCATTGTTTAAACAATGTTCCATTGCAGAAATAAATAAACTAAGTCCGTAAACCGTTAGGGACGCGTAAAAATCGAAAAAATCCCGAAACTTGAGCGAAAACGTGGAAAATTGAGCAAAAATTTTGAAATTTGCGCGAAAATAGCGTCGGTAATGTAGACTTACAATTAGTTGCCGTGTATTAAAGTTATCGGAAATTCCTAGAATTGATGTACAATGCCACAATTACTACTGATCATATTTAAGAACCTCTTGTTGCTTCGTTTCTTCGTACAGTGCACTATTACAAGTTTTGTACTAAAAAAAAAAAAAAAAAAAAAAAAAAGAGCAGAAAGAAGGAATCGAATATAGAAAGAACAAGTATGTACCAGGTACTCATTTTAACAATGGTGTACATTTTCGCGAAGAACATTATTATGTTCAACTATTCTGCCACTCCCTGCGACAAAACTTATGCAAAGTTCGCGTAATATCTACCTTACCGCAAAGTTTCAATCACCGTGTGGAATCGTCAAGATCCTCCCATCGCGATACACTAAGTGTCACCTGCATGAATCGATCGATTTCCGGTTGGATCGTTCACGGGAACACGAAGTATGCGTTCAACCATTTCACCGAACGAATCGCGGAGGAACAGTTTCGCGAAAATTTTTTTCGAGAAACATGAAAATGAATGCTCGACCGTACAATAACAAGGAATACGATGAACTGATCAGACCCATCATGTTAACCGCAAAGATCATTTCCATCTGGCCGTTGGCAGAGAATAGCGCTACGGGGGCTATATTGTTCAGGAGATTCCACTTGCTCTGCATGTTTTTTCTGGTGAGTGTCCGTTCTCTCAAACAGGTATACAATATTGTAGATTGTGGCTATAGTAGAGACCAAATATATCGGCCGGTGAAAGTTGCCCGTGGAACCTTTCCGTTTCGTCTTTAAACTACGTTTGCTGTCCTAATAAAACAAAACGAAGGGAGCATATTGTCACAAAAAAAAAAGAGACAGATGAAAGAGGTGTGCTTTTAAAAGGCGAAGAGTGTATATTACTGCTAGAAGAAAGACAAAGAACCCGTTGCAAGAACAGATACGTTGCGAACAGATATGTTACTACTACATATACAGTCTCGTTCGTAGGGTTCGTCGGTGTGAAAAAGCGATGGAGGGGGAATGGCCAGGACCGACCAATATGTTTGGCTCCGACTATAGCCAAATGCACTTGTAGTTAACGAACATTCACACTTGATTTTCTCGTAAACAGAGCATCATACGAGAAAATTTTATTCTATATTTTCGATTTAGTTTTACAAGAGGAATTATTTTCTATATCAGGTTATATCACGATATCGGATATACTCTGTACTACGCGACACTGTATTCTTTTGCGTGCAGCCATAGTTGAACTCTGTTGATAAAATAAATAATCTTCGAAGTGGCCGTGAAATATTGCGCCGACCGTACGCGTTCATCGGGATTAAACGAAAAAGCGTGTCGGAAGGATGGTTTTTTCAGGTGGTGGTGATGTCGATCGCGGTGACGGCCGACGTGATCCACAATATCGACGATTTGGACGAAGCGACCGAGTGTGCGTTGATTTGCACAGCATTTTACCTTTGCGTTGTTCGCATGGTGGTGTACGCGATTCATCAGAAAGATATGCTTTACGTAGTGAACACAATGAGGATCGATTGGACTGAATCTTCAAAAGAGGATCGTGTTATTCTAGCGGAGAAAACGATGTTCGCCTTTCGTCTTGCCAAGTACTTTATCAGTACCGTGGCTGCAACTATCGTGATGTTCATGTGCATTCCGATTCTAGAGGTAGCTATATTTATCTTCCATTTCACTCGTAATTAAATACCGCAGAAATGTTAGGTTGCAGACAGGTTTTCCACACAGATTAAAAATAACAACAAATATGTTCATTATTAAATTATATTCGATTCAGGACTTCTCTAAGACTAACAATCAAATACTTCGACAAACTCTTTTTCTAGAGTCTAGACCAGAGCTGCTCAACAAGTTGCCCGCAGGGCAGCAGTAGCGATATTTGGGCAGTAAGTCTCCTCGGGTAACGATCCTGTGACGAGACACTGTACGAATGTAATAGCGATCTACCGACCTAAAAATGAGAATTATGCTTCGAAGAGAGTCTATACTCTCGCCACGTCGTTCTTCAACGCTTTAACGACTGTCGACCTTACTTGCTCAAAAGTTTGCCCTCAGCGTTGCCCGGCGGGCTGCCCAAAACAGACCTACTTGAGCAGCCCTGGTTTAAACTCTCGCTCTCAATTCTAAACTCTTCCACTTTGATTTATCTTTGCATCTACACATCTCTTTCTATTTCTTTACTCCTTTCACTTTATGCAGACAATCCTAAAAGATATTTGCTCACGTCCACCCAAAACTCTCCGTAACTGTGCAGCTCGAACACTTTTCTTTCAAGTACTCTTCATCGACACATCATCGATTCTGATTCAAACACTTGCTCGAAAAATTCTACACACTCCTACGGTATCATCACTCGACTAAGCATAACATTCTTGCAGATTTACGTGCTTGGTAAGGACAAAGTGCTCCCATTCCGAGGTTACTTCTTCCTCAATCAAACCGTGTCGCCGATCTTCGAGTGCTTGTACCTGTTCAACGTGACCGCTGGTGGATTCGGCGGTACGATGATCGCCAGTTGCACCAGTTTCAATCTGGTGGTAATAATGCACGGCTCGGCCAAGTTTGCTGTTCTACGGAGAAGATTGGAGGCTCTCAGCGGCAAGGATCCTAATTCTACTACTGTTATGGGGGATTTAGTGATTCGCCACCAGGAAGCAATAGAGTGGGCCTCGTTTGTCACCTTTACGAATGTATTATACCACCGACGCAGAATCGAAGCGTTCAAAATCTAATGTACATAGTTCGCTTATCACGTTGACTGCCACGTTGGTCATGTGTGACCGGAGATTGTTTCCTCGATGTTTAGAATAATTCAAATAAAATAGCTAACTAGATATTACTTTGAATTAAAAAAAAAAATAATAATAATGTAGTATCGGGGCCTCCATACGCAAATAAGAAACCGACAAGGGAAACTGACCTACAATAATAATAGAACATAATAAGCATAATATAATACCACGCTTGGAATAATGAAACTTTTCTTCTGCCTCCCTGAGCAAAACGTGTAAATCTGGCGTGGCGATCAACGGTGTTAAAACTCTCGCAAGGCGGTGCCTGGGTCCATTCGGGACCTGATTAAGTTTCAATCAAGTCTTCACTAGTCGATTATTATGTCAGAGCAATTAGAAGTCGATTCGTGCCTCTGAAAAACAGATAAAGGACGCGAGAGTTATCACGGGTCCTAAATGACACCGTCTCCCGTTTAGTCGGCCCGAACGATCCGCCTTCCGAGGGAAGAAACTATTAAAATATAAAATCGAGGGAAACTTTTCACTCGAACGGTCGGTCGTAGCAACGTTTTCACACACACACACACACACACACACGACGTTACAAGGAACGATTACGTTCACAGGTACGCAGATGCACTGGAAAGGATCATAAATGTTCTGGCTTTGGGACAATTCGTCATTAGCACAGGTCTGATCTGCTTCGCGGGATTCCAGATCACCTCGGTGCGTTCTCACCGAATCGTTACGTTATCGATAAGAGAAAAAAAAAGAGTAACCATTCCAGATGATGGAGGATAAAGGACGGCTGATGAAATATTCCACCTTCTTGAACTCCGCCATTCTCGAGCTGTTCATGTTCAGCTTCAGCGGAAACGGCCTGATAGACGAGGTGATCCGATCAAACGTTTCTATCCTACATAGAGGGGTTACTTATATAGGGGTGGAGAAATATGTTGAGAATGTATAATGACGTTTTGTTTGCGCGGATCCTTTGTTCCCGTGTGAGTTGAGGCTGCAAATTGATCGAGATGTGGGACACGGTTGCAGTAGCTGGAAAAGAACTTTTATATCGTTGAACGGTGATTTTTAAGTAGCAAGATACTTTTATTTCACTGTTCATCTCCGAAACTTGAATGCACACATTGTTGCAGTCTCTATTCTCGAATGCAACATCGACGGAAGCACCATTTCGAATGCAACACATTGTTGTACGCGTTACTTTCGAATGCAACATTGCTTGAAACGTTGTATTTGAACGGAAACATTGTTGGAATCTCTATTACTGATTGCAACATTATTAGATGCGTTATTTTTAACGCAAACATTATTACAAGCACTACGCTTGAATGTAACATTGTTACAAGCGTCATTCTCGCTTGTAACATCGTTAACTCGTGTTATTTTCGAATGCACATTGTGGCAAACGCGCTGTCGCGCTTGCAACTTCGTTGCCGCGAATCGCTCTCGAAAATTACACATTGCTGCACGACGCGCCGCTTTGCAATAATGTGCATTTTTGAAAATGACTCGCGGCAACAAAGTTGCAAACGCGGCTCTACCCTGTTGTAACTTTGTGTCACGTGCGCGATTCGCGAAAAAAGCACATCGTTGCAAAAGGAGAGATCGCGCTTGCAACTTTGTTGCCGCGAATCGTTCGCGAAAAATGCACATTGTTGCAAAGCGGGGCGTCGTGCAATAATGTGCAATTTTCGAGAACGACTCACGGCAACAAAGTTGCAAGCGCGATCTCTCCTTTTGCAACTTTGTGAAACGCGTTATTTTTGAAACGCACGTATCTTAAAGCAATTTACAAGCACATCAGTTTCCACGTCCATTCGATTCACCCTCGTGAGCAGCCGGGAATCGATCGCGGGCACCCTAGACTATATAGAGAGAAATCTCTCCCTCGATCGATTTCTCTCTCTCTCTCTTTCTTTCTTTCTGGAATTTCTTTTGCAAAAGTTCTACTGTGTTGAAAGTAATCAAAGTACGATCGATGATCATTTAGAGCGACGCGGTAGGCGAGTCAGCTTATGGCAGCGGATGGATCGGTAGTCGTTTCTCTCAGAGTCTTCAGATCATGATGATGCGCTCGAGGATACCATGCAAGATAACCGCCGCTAAATTCTACAGCATGTCCTTGGAGAGCTTCTCGAAGGTGAATGAAAATGTTCACCTCAACTTCTTTTCTATGGTTGACAAGAGATATCACCGGCTGGTTCTTTATTACTTACTCTACGGAGAAAAAAAGAAACGATCGTTACGCTCGAGCACCTTTGTTTCTACAAGAAGTTTCGCGTGTTTTGCAGGTACTCAGCACGTCTTTCTCCTACTTCACGGTCCTCACAGCCACCAAAGACGACTAACGGCCACGCTGTAGACGGAGTCCCTCGATGACTCAACATACAGGGAATATATTTTAGTCGTTCCACTACCCTAAAAATATACTCATGTACAAGAAAGTGTCGCCGAAGACGTTCCCACCTATATTGACCTCCTCTTGTTCGTTCACGGAGATCGATCGTTGGATAACTGAGGAGTAGGAGGGTGGAATTTTACAATAAACCAGTAGATCAATTGATTTTATATTTATTCGACGAATCGCTATGTTTAGGTTTATACAGATTATTCTTAGATTATTCAACGTGGTTCACGTATGGGAATATGGTTCAAAGAGGCCTTCAACCCTTTCGCTACGGCAGATTTGAATGCCTAAACGTGGGTGGCTGAGGGTCAATTTTTAATTACCGCTGCAAAATTTCTTATTTAGGCCGTATCGTTTTAGATTTCGATTCGTTCAATTAAGGTGGAAGTGTTTAAAGGAGAAAATTAAGTATTAAATTAAGACAGAAGGGCGTGGAAAGGCTCCAACAGTGTGGTGCGAGGAAATTTTCAAAAATAGTAACGAAAGAGTTAACATGATTACAGTGCACTCTTTATCAGGCAACATTTTTCAAAAATTTTAGTCTTCTTCAATTGTTTATAAATAATTCCACAACTTTTTCTCTAAAATATGTGAACTAAAGAAAGAATATTCTAACGATAAAAAAATGTGTAGATGATTATGTTAGGCGGTTTGCCCTGCATATCGCTAAGTCTTCCCCTTCAAGGAGGAACGTTTTCAGTCTTCTTTTTCTTACAAGACACGGTGCAACGCATTAAACACACTCAGACGAGCCTACTAATCACGCTCATAATCTCGCGCGATATTTACCTAAGCGTGTTTACCAAACAGCCAGCTTATTATGAGCCTATGCATACACACCAAGACACGGTGTATATACTTAACAGACCACAGATGTGGTTCCTTAATTATCTTGTGCGGCAGAAATTTATCCTAAGATGTTCACGCGGGTATACAAACAATTTCTACCGAATAATCTCGAGTAATTTCAGGGTCAAGTATAGTCGATCGAAGCGATATTAACACTAGGTTTACGGACATTTATTATATACCTACATCTCTACGGAAACGCGTCAAATTGATGCTTGAAACTGCGTATTATACACTGTCAACTTATAAACGAAACTACGCGATATTACAGATTTCTATAAAATTTATAACAACCCTAAGTGGTAGGAAAGAAATGTAACCGGTTTCTGTAACTTTCCTTACAGAAAATTTCCATTTCTGTAATTTCCCTTGTGAAATTCGAAATGCGTGAAAACCACACGTCCCGTAAACCTAGTGTTAAATTAAAGTATTAACCCTGAAGATCGCTAAATCTAATTTTCTCACTCTAACACGGTACTAAAGAAATCATGCGAAAGAAGTCATAACTCAAGAGATTGCTCCTTTGCAATAGAGAAGCGTTAAGGCACTGATAATTACTAAATCTAATTTTCTTACTCCAATACGGCACTAAAGCAGCGAACAACTGATACCTGCACATACGTACAGTCACTAAAAGAAATCATAAGTCAGGGGTTCATCCCTTGCAACAGAGAACAATTCTTTTCTTTTTCCTTTTTAAATTGTCATGAATGTCAGCAAGAGTTTCGGTGAAATGTAACGAGTTCGGCCGAGTTCTCTCTCTCTTTGGGTGGGGTAAACCATCGGCGAATGGTCTTGGAAGCGACTCGAGGGTATTTTCATCGCAACAGTACAACACGTGCAACCAGTCAGTGCACGCACAGGCTCCTCTCCGTTTCTCCGATCAGTGTGGCACGCTCGTCTGTCGTTGCGACATGTAAATCTGGACTACTTCTTTTCGACGTTTCCACCATTGGACACTTCCGTTGGATCTCGTTATCACGGAAACGAGGCGCTGGAGAATTATGACGGGATCCAGCTGATGTCGATTATTGTCGTCCGCGTGATGGCAACATGGCTAATATCAAGGTGGCAGTTCGAGTGAGACCAATTTCTGCCAGGTGAGTCGTGTTTCATGTTAAAGATTGAACCGCAACTGAAACAGATAATTGAACGAACTTGATTGTTACGACAGAAAATTTGCATGAAAAAGAAAAAATTGAACGTGACGGTAGAGTGGATTAATTTTTGAAAAAGAAAAGAGCGATTGTGTATGCTGTAGATTAATGAAAACAGGTTAGTTGAAAATTCTAGGTTTACCCGATGTTAAACTCTCGTTCTACCGCTGCTAACTTGTGGCCCGATGTATTTTAAGAAACGGCAAAAACCAATGGGAACCGCGCTCTCTATTCACCGTGTTCCCAATATGCAGAACTTTGTTGAATGTGTTAAGGTCAAGGTTTCGCCTGGTCTCAAGGTTTCTTCCTCGCCCGCAATTTCATTTTTGCGAAAAGCCTCCTCGTTTCACGTGTATTTTACGAGGACCCGGGCGTTTTTTTGCTGATAATTGACTGGCTGTGGTGTCGACTGGTAACGTGTACCACGGTATGTACACGTAGCTTCTGAAATAATTATACCTCGGAGCCGGTCTAAATGGGAAACGAACGAGGACAGAGGGATCTGGAGGCAGATTTATAGGGGTTCGCGCGGTGCGCCTTTGAGACGCCACTTATGAACTCGTTTCTATACTTAGAAGATGGGGCAAGAACTGACGCGAAATGTAAGACAAACTAACAATTGCTCGGGAGCTGAGAGTAATAAGCTTGGCCAACGATGAAATTAGGGCCGTCTAATTTTCTTATACGTCTGAAAGGTTGAAAGTGTCTGGATAATCTAGATATTTTCCACTTTACTTCGTTAATACTAAATATTCTGTATTAATACTTTCACTATTGAATACACACGATGATATACATCATTCTGAATCGTATATAGACTTTTTACCGTTCGAATATCGCTGTGCGCTCGACAGTGCCCCGCGGGCTGATTACTGCCCCTGCGGGCTGACCAACTGCCCGACGGGTAGCTTCCTGGGCAGCTCTGCTTTAAATCGAAAAATCGAAAACTGGCGTGCTTGTGTGATGGGAGAAAGTGAAAGAAAGAGTCTTCCTGGCGAATATAGAAGGGAGAATGGTCAGTGTCGTACGGAGAAAAGCGTCGTCAGATAAAATGGTCGTTCTTTGAATGAAGTTTGAGGCGAGAATTTCAAGGGAATACCGTTACTCATTCCGGCGAAGGCATCGTCGAACAACCAAGAGGAAAAGCTAGAAGGAGGTTTTGAATGAACGGCGAGGCGCGTGTACGCGAATAGCCTCCGTTGGTCGTTATCATCTTCCCTCGTCGCGTTCTCTTCTTCCGTTTATATGAAGAAGGCGCCCCGCGAACCAGTAAAGAGTGTTATTCTGGAACGGATGCTCTTGCTATTCCTGTTTCGAGTCGTTAAACTGTCGTGGTCGTGTGTCATCGGCGAGTGTTGCGCTGCTCGTAGTACGTCACTCGATCCTTTATCGCGCGAACATCCCCCGGATAGCCCCGCGGGAAAATTCGTCGCTTTAAATAAACCCATCGACGACCCCCTCGTCGTTCGAGACGGCTGACGAGAGATAGAAGCTGCTTTACATGCGATTTCGTTGCTTCTTATTTTCGAACAATCGAACGGGAGAGCTCGTTGATACTATATACTTTTATTGTTTGTACAGTTTTAAGCTGGAACCAAGAATCTCGCAGCTTTCGTTCCTTAAAAAACAATGTTTCGATATTTTTATCAAATTTTTATCAAGTTCGTCCGTTGAGAAAGAGAGGATAGAGGGAGAGAAAGTAGCGAATTCCAAAATACAAAAAAAGTTCTCGAAACGAAAAATTAGCTTAGGGTAGAGCGTCACAGTCGTTCATCGAGAAGTAGACGCTATCAAAAGCTGTCTCTCCCTCTAAATCACCGTCGATCTTCCTGTCGAACAACTAGCAGAGGCATTAATTTCGCAAAAAAGCGACGGCGGGGCACGAAATCATGGCGATTAGAGGAGGAACGGGGCCGATAGGATCACGCGAGGAGCAGGGTTAAAGCACCCTTCCTTGTCGTTCCTCTGTGCCCGTATGCGTCACACGCACGTCACAGAGATAGAGGAAGAGAGCGGGTGGTGTAATCGTCGCTCTTACTTGTCTCGCGTCACGCCAAATGTTGTGCCACACGACGAAAGGCGACCCGAAAACACAGGATCGAACATCGTTTCTTCGAGCTGTTCGAAATCTTCGATCACGCGTCCACACGTTCTCCAGATCAATTTTTTGCGGAAAAAAGATATTCGTTAAATAGATCGGTATTGTGAGCTCCAGTTCTGTTTGCTGGATCCAGCGAAAAATAAATATTTATTGTTGAGAAAGAAAGAAGGAATCGTTGCTTTTTTTTTGTAGCGGAAATTGCGAGAATTTGAAGAAAATTGTAAAAATACAGCATGGAAGAGAGCATCTGGAGGAAACAGGAAACGTTGATGGACACGTGCAGGAAGAATTCGAGTATTGAAGAGTGCTCGGCAGGATTTTCGGCTAGGTCCGGATATGAAAGTGACGTGTGCACACGGTGTACGCATCGACGAATTGATTTTGATCCAGGCAAGGTGGAAAAAAAGCTTCTCCTGGTGGAAAAAGCTGGCTCGATGGAAAAAGACGAAAAATGAAATTGTCGTTTCGAAAACTGTTTCACAGATCCTCCTCTAGCTTTGCCATTTTTCCTTCGTGTTTTTTAACGATAGAAGAATTTTCCCATCTTTTTTTCCCCTCTCTTCCCCACAGAGAGTTGAATCTGACGGGGTCAGAGGTGGTTGTACGCACGGATTCAAGTGGAATCTCACTGACGAACCTGAAGGTGTCCTCGAGCAAGGCCGGAGACAGTCGCGAGAGAATACGAAGATATGATTTCGACTATTGCTTCGATTCGTCCGATCAGGAAGCTGAGAATTTCGCGGATCAATCGAGGATCTATCAAGCACTCGGTAATGTTGTTCTGGATGCTGTTTTCTCTGGCTACAATTCTTGCCTGGTGGCGTATGGCCAGAGCGCGTCC